TTAGGCTTTTTGTCTTATTCCTGTTTTACTGCGTGGTTTAAAAAAAAAAAAACCTAATTAATGCACACATTACATTACATCAACCCTCAATCCTCAACCCATCACCAGCAGGAAGAAATAAAAACACCATGTATACACTTCACTACTACATCGATACATTCTTGTCTTCTTACTTACATCTTATGTTTGTTAGCTGGGTGAGCAGTTATGCCGAGCTAAGTTCCACACAACGGATGAAAAACAAATAAATTAAGGTGCACGTAATGTCACCTGAAAATTATCTGTTAAAACAGGCAATCATCTTTTGAATTCATGTCACAAGATGGACATATGATGGATGCACTTAAGTTAGCATTGGCAGCTCAATCAAGCCTCTGAACTCCACGGTTCCTGGTGTCACGATAACAAATAGGCGAGGAGACAGGATTGATTGCAGAGAGGCTTGTGCTCGTGCTCAAATGAAGTCTTAATTCGAAATTTTAGTTATGATGGATCTTCAAAATCACTGTTCCCGTTGAGCTATAATAAAAATAATAATAATAATCATCATAATAAGGAGGAATAATTCAAAAACAAGCTTCAATCCTTGAGCTTTATTCAAGCTTTGGGGCACTGATTACAAACACAAAGTGCAGCTTATCTGTCCTCAGTCAGAGGTTGTTGATGGGTAAGAGGTACTTGTAAGAAATGTTCTGGTCATTTGTGGGCCCTCGGGAACATGTCATTATGGTAATAACACTCTCACAGAGGAAGAAAAAAGTTCATTTCCTGAATCTTGTAAACAGGTTTATAGAACATCATAATTAGTTGCCTGGAAAACTCGGAAGACCGCCAAAGCTAGAAAGCTCATGTATAAGTAAAATCCGGGTTTTAAAGCCAATTTCAAGCTGGGATTCTGATTCACAAATGTGACGTGCCTACCTATTACATCTGCTGGCCTTAAGATCTATCTTAATGAAGTTATTTGCAAGGGCTTACATCATCGTCTAGAATATAGGCTTGACTGAGCCTCAATTCAGCAAAGTAAATATGAATGATGAGACAATCGCATATCCAAGACAGCCTACTTCTTTTCAAATAAAATATGCTGGTGGGCCCATAGAGCGTACAGAGGCACTGAGGGTATGTGATTGCATATTATCAGATATTCTGTGTTCAAAAGAGATGTGAGTGATTATACTTCAAAATATTTATCAATCTTTCTTTGTCTGGGTTTGGAGACACCATTTCATAAAAATGTATTCTGGACATGTGCTGCCCTCAAGGATGCTGCCCAAGTTCTGTGAAATATGTATTCCACACCTTAGTGTTACAGTGCGTGTTCCGGTGTAGCTAGGGTGACCTTTTGGCTCAGCACCATGGTTTCCAACCAAGCATGACTCCAAATGTGATGCTTAGCCTGGAGTAAATAAAACATATTTCTATAGCATGCTTCTGCAGCAAACTATTCCGCTAATAACAAAGTAATAACTCTCGTCTTGGTGCTGTCCCTGCCATCCCATAATTGAATTGGTAGACAATGCCATGCTGCTGTCACAGCGGGGGCTGGCAAAGAAGATAAGTGCAGTAATGTGGCTTTATACAGAGGCAACATGTCACAGCAGGTTGACAAAGCCACGCTGTGATAAATTAAGAGCCATCCAACAATACTGCGTGAAATTTGCTTAAGCGGTGCTGTAGTTATTCTCTTGATAAGATCTTCGTGTCAGCCACATCATCATGAAGCCCATTTGCCATCAATCTGAACAGAGATTATAATGAGTCCTCATTTCACCCAGAAAATCAGATTGCTTAGTGACTGTCTAACAGCCCCCTCTCAAGCATCCACACCTTAATTCCACAGACTCAAAGTACTGTATCTTCATTTTGATGTCGTTTCAGTAGTAGACTGGGTCCAAAATCACTCCCTATTTACTATATACAGCATATACGCTGTTCAGCAGATGAAGGACGTCCTGGAGGGCTGCTGCTAACATTAGCTCAGCTTGTTTCTCTAATAACTTAAGATCTAAACGTCTGATAACTAAAATCTGGTTAAAATGTAGAGTTAACAACGACCAACTAAATGAACTAAAGGGTGTATTGTAAAAAGAATTGCCCTAAAACTGGATAAAAAGTTCATTTGTGACAGCTTCTGGCAGACAACAATACTGACGCATGTGCAAAGGGGATATGATACCATCGACAGGCCACCATTACCTGAATAAAATGACTCCTATTAATAAAATGATTTCTCTGTCAAGTTTTTATTAGTGGATGTAATACATTATAATCCTAGTTTTAAAAAAAAAGCTTGTATATGGAATATTTTTCATTGTAGTTTTCCATGAGGAAGTTAACACTGACTGTATTTACATCATCACAACAGATAAAGATACAGACAGTAATCCACGTTTGCATGTGTTTTACCTATGTAAATATTATCATGCTATATCTGTGTCCACACAAGTCACACGCTTATTTTTTTTGTTGTTTTTTTCCCCACTATATTTACACACAGACATAGTTTTGTTACTCCCCTAACCTTTAAGTTGCGCTTCCCATTTTACCTAATTGATCATGATGTGAGAGAAGCATCTACCAGGCCAGTTTTGCTTGTTGTTTGGTCCAAATTGTTCCTCCTTATCTCCACTATGTGTCCGAGCTACAGGAGTAAGTGTGATTCCACTATCTCTGTGTCTCAAACTCAAACTAGCTGTATTTTCACATTTTCTAGATAAAAGCATTGACTTTGTGTCTAAAATGTACTTTTTTTTATCTGCAATCAAATACTAAGTGGAAATGGGTATGGTGTGTACTTTTAAGTTTCCCCAAGATAAGATGTCCAAAAAATTTAGCTTTTAGCAAGTGTAAGCATCGGCCTATCAATTAGTTTGTCTTAGAAGAACAAAAACATAATTCCGTTCTGGTTTGAATAAATATGATGACTTATTAGATCTTCAAACGACACATCCTTAAAAAAAAGTTATTCATAAGGCACAGAGCTCATTTCTGTCCATCAAAGAAAGGCAGATGCAAAGGCTCTTTTTATGACTCAGATCTATTTTACCACTTCAATCTGCTGAGTAAACAAGAGGCTTTAGCCAATAGGCCAATGCCGCTCAATATTCATAATAGTCCATAAAGCAGGATTTAAAGGATCTGAGTGAATTGCATTGTGGATATTTGAAAGACAGTGGGTTTCAGTCTCTGTTCGCACTCACTGTGGGCTATGTTTCCATATCATTTCTGAGCTGATATCCCATCAATGTCATTGGTTTAGAACATTTAGCTTAAATATTAGTGTTATCTGCTGTTACTCACAATAGAGAAAAAGATTTACATCATCCCACCGTCTCCTTAACACAGTCATTTCTGTACAGAAACAATCTGAGTGATTGATGGAATTTTTATTTCCTATAGAATACATTTAGTAGATAATGCAATTGCAGATTGCAACATTATTTTAAATTTATATAATATTCTAAGAACAGTTCAGGGGAATACCACTCCACTGTTAGGGGATTTGCATATTTTGCCTCTGCAGCCCTTCACAAAACCTGCAAAGACAGCCAAGTCCCAAATCTGTGACTTGTACAGCCTGGAGATACTGCATAACACTGAACTGAAGTCTGAGCGAGAATGTTTGTTTACCCTTTGACGTCCAAATTAGCTTAATTTTATCATAAAGCCGACAGTTTTGCAGCAGAAAGCACACCCACACCCCCTCCGAGAAATTCTGCTTGTCGTGTTTTCCATCTTTTCCAATTCATTCTCTGCAGAGCTGCAATTGCTGTGACAGATTACAGGGAGCGACAAACTCCTCTCTTGTTTCCTACCACCCTAAGGCAAAGGAAAAACATTTGAATACTCAAACTCTTTTGTTTTCATCTGCTGCTTTGTTAAGATAATTTTCTCAAATGAAGTGACATCTTCAACCACACCTCTTGAGTGCAGTGCAGGCGTGGACGCAGCAGGAATACACGTGAGAGAGACAGGTACAAAACACAACAAGCAAAATGAACGTTTTTACCGGTGTGATTCTGATTCTTGCCATCATGATCCAAGCATGATGCCGAAATATCCCAAACTTCACTCACTTTAACTCAAAGATCAGAAAAAAACGAACTTTCTTAGACCCACTCAGTCTGCGCGCCAAATTGCTATTATTCCCTAACCAAATGGATGTGGTTGGCACACTGTATAAGGAGAATATTATTGGGTCTGTTGATTGAATACATCAAACACCTTGAATATGTCAGGCTGATTATTCTTCACCACATCTGACATCTGACTGAGCTAATTATTAATCAAATAACATAATAAATAAACAGAAGACTGACAATGCAAATAATCATTAGTTGTAATAGAATTAACAAGCATGTACAGATTGTTATCAATAAGGTCTTATATTATCATTCTTTTCGGTGATATGATTGAACTATAATTAAGGCAATAGCACAGGTTAACCACATTTATTTGGAAGGCGAGTGGTAAAATGATGTCAGTGACACACATCAGTGTTACTGCATACTGACTTCCATGTTTAACTTGACCTACCTTGCCGTACTTGTGTGCACACACATTTTTCCTGTAACATTAAGGCGGGACCAAAGCAAGGATTTTAGAAATACTCTAATAGTCTAATTCCCAAACGCAACCTGAATGGAACATCATTTTATATAATTTAGGGGCCAAATACTATACCCTTATTTGCATATGTACTTTTTAATGTAATTTAATTTGTACCTAAAGAAAGTCAAATCATAAGCCCTGAGTGATGGAGTATTACCAACATAACTATATTGCCAAAATCTCAGCATTTACTTTGGTTGCAATATCATAAGTGATATAAATGTAGCAAAAACTACAAAAATAAGTTTTGAAACTAAAATGATCCTTTAAACAAAAAAACCCAAAACAGCCAGTAAGAGACTATTGTCAATGACAGAAATGAATGTCAAAAGTGTGCGACTGTGTTACTCTCAAAAATCACACCACAGATTGAAGTGCAAACTGACCTTATGATCAAATCACTGGAGTCGATGAGGCCGCCGTACTGGGAGCCCTTCAGGTTCCCAGAGTTCCCCACCACGGAACAGGTCCTGCAGCGCTCTGGGCTGGTGTCCATGTAGAGCACCTCATCAGGGATGACTTGGAACAGCTCCTCCACCACTCTGCTGAAATTGGCCGGCTGCCTCTCTGACTGCAACCACTGGTGACAGAGCAGAGACAGGCCTCAGAGAGAGCCACGGCTCCAGGGCCACTTTAAGTAGAAGTGATTGAACAAGGGCAGCGGAGCTCCAGACATCGAGCACATTTCTGAAATAACCTCAGGGGCGGCTTAGCTTCGTCTGCGGGGGCTCTTTTGGCCTGGCCTTCTTCTGGTGGCTTTGAACTCGGAGAGACAGCAAATAAATGCAGGAATGTGTGTGCACTTTATACTGTTATATATTGTGCTATAGCAGCTGGAAACAGAACAGATACACAGTGTTCTGCAACAATCACTCATGAGTTTAAGTGAGTCATGGTCTAAGTATTATTGAGGAGGCTTTTTCACCTTGCCAATACAGTCGTGGGGAAACCATTTAACATTTCTGAATGTTATTTGGCATTGAATATGGGTAATAAGCTATTATTTATTGAAATATAGATTTTAATCATAAGACCAAAACTCTTCTTCAGTATAAACCTTGATGTATATACATGCACATCATATATTTATAGTGATATTTTCTGTTTAATTAGAAACTCTCCTTTACAGAACTGACATTTAGTCATGTAAGATGTAAGCTTTCACATGGCACAAAGAGCCCAGGTACACCTGAAAGGTCATGCCCTTGCCTTGCAGCAGCGCAGCCCGAACCATCTGGCCAGGCTACCGTTGATATGTGACACTTGCCTCATCAAGCTCCCGGTGAGAAGCATTTCCTGAAACGACTAGTGACAGGAGGCAACCTTGCAGTAATTTTTCTATTCTTGCCTCTAATTGGACATGGTGTGAGGTGAATGTGGGAATACCTAAGGCACTGGATGCCTTCCAGACAAAGGCATGATAATTGTGTGACATAAATTTTGTGAATAGGCTTTTATAATTTAGAGAGCTATACTTTAGTAATGGGAATTACAGAAAGTACAGCATATATTGGTTGGACAGAATTAAATCAAGGCTGGCATGTAATTAGTAATATATCTCAAGCGAATTCTAATTTACAAGAAAGTGGATTTAAACAAGAAATCCTCCATAAAACACTTAAACAGCTATTGTATCTAATAATCTTGGGTTCATTTTTATGTTTGGTGTGTTTCATGCTCCCTGCGGATGACTGGCAAAATGTAGGTGGCATTACATCCATTAAGATATTTTTAGTGGAGCTCAAATGGAGTTTGATGGTTTTAGCTACACTAACAGTAAATACCAGGTTTTGGTGTCAGTCACTCCGAATCCAAAAGTTTCCCCTCGAGCAGCCATTTAACAGTGACACTCAGCAATCATACAGGTGACAAAATCCATCATGGAGGAGGCAGAGATAACAATTCCTCCACTGACTGCAGTGGCAGGTAGTATTGTAGGCTACAAGTAAGTACTAGTACTGGATATTTGCCAGATATACATTTTTCTTACTTCAATAACTAACTAGTAAGGCTGAAACTTCACATTAGCTCTAATTGGAAAGGAAAGGGTTAGTCATTCATTAAGCAATACCAGCATCACCAGACAACGTTACATATTGTTCAAAAAGAAAATGTATTATTATTCTCCCATAAAGTTGGGGGGTTGGCAGATTAAAAAAAAGAATAGTCAAAATATAAACAGCCGAGGCAGAACATAACTTTTAGTCCCTAATATGGAACGCCGAATGCACTGGATCCTACACTTCCCATAATGCAACACAATAGCATCTTCTGTCAGACCCTCCCGGACTGGTAAAAGCCCACCTCTTTCAAACTCCACACCCCCAGTTTGTAGGCATGGGCTCCTGATGACATCATCAGGGCTAGTTCCTCCGACCTGACAAAGTTCCTCCAGAGCCACTCAGGACTTTATCCAACTGTAACAGGCCGAGTAGCACGAAGCATGACAAGTAAAGTGATCTCGATGCGTAAAACTGGTGGAGAGCTATTCTGTATGTTCTGTTAACATAACCAGCCTTTGTTTGTTAAAGCAACAGTGAGGCTTAGCTAAAGGGCTCAATACATCAATATTGCTATCAGCCTTGTACAGGCTAGTTTATCAATCGAGGAATGTTAAAGTGAATAATTAAACATTTTGGGAAGTAAGAACCCAAAATGCTGAGAATGCTGTATGAGGATCCATACCACACTCATCTGATGAAGCTAAAGCCAGCAGACACTTAGCTTAGCTAAGCTTAGCATAAAGACTAGATGCATGTGTAAACAGTAGGCCTGGTTCTATCAAAGGGAAAAAATAGGTCTACCAGCTCCTCTAAAACTCACAAATTAATATTTTATATCTCTTTGTTGAATGCGTACAATTACGAAGCAACAGCAAGTCACTGCCTGGACAATATAAAACCCCACGAAACACACAGCATTTATTATGTTAATTAAGACAAGATGTTAATTAGTGAGCTTTTCTGTGGCTAGCTGTTTCTTCCTGCTTCCAGTCTTTATGCTAAGCTAAGCTAAGCTAATTGCCTGCTGAATCAATCTCCATATTTGGAGCACTGTAAGCTACACACATAAGAGTGGTATTGATTTTCTCATATAACACTCGGCAAAAGAACTATTTCAAGTCACGTCATGTCCATGCTAGACAAGAAGAAAAATCTGTATAGCCAGATACAGCACGAAACGTGTCATTGCAACATGTTCATGCCAATTCTCTGGGGGCTGGAGAAATGCATCATGAGAGATGTTGTTGAGGCAGTTAGAGAAGAAGAACAAAAGTAGAATGCTTTATGTACAGTATTATTGAACATGAATGATTTAAATGAATGGTCATGCAGTTGGGAATAACTAGAGTCAAAGCACATATTCATGAACAGAAGAGGCATAGTTTGTATAATGTGTGAAACATGCATTATTTCAAGGACAGGATTTTTAGCGAGTGAATGGTTACGGTGTCACATATACATTCATATACATACATTCATTATGATGGAAAATGTCTTTCTTCATCCGTAGATGTGGGAAAAATGGTGAGACTAAACAATAATTTCCATATCCACCATCTCACTTGTTAAATGTGAACAAATTGTGCGTGGGAGTTTGCTTCACAACTTGATCCTGGTGAAGATCCCTTGGATTTGAAACAATCAATGTGGCAAAAACAAACACTTCTTGGGAGCGTTACAGCAGAATGTGATCTCTGTTCTTTATTCATGATCTTTCATTTCAGCACCTCATCAGCTTTCAGAAGCTGAATGTGCATGTTTTTGTTTTTTTTTACCTTTTTCAAGCCTCTTTAGTATAGATAGCATTGCAAATCTCCGAAACACATCCTCTGAATCTTACCTGCCACCATTTAAAGGTTTCATCGGAGAGGATGCTGTTCTCCCTGGTCATCAGAGGGTGGATGGACTGATTGAAGCGCTCGGCAAACCAGGGGTCGTCCTCCAGCTCCGTCATGCAATGGCGACAGGCGCATAGCCCTTTGGAGAAAAAGTTGTCCGACAGACGAAAAGCGTACTTGAAGAAGTAGAGTGAGGGGTCCCGGAAAGTGTAACTGAACAGGAACGTCGTAAATGTAATGACGCAGAACAGCAGAGCAAAAGTCCGGATTTTCCTCTGCTTGGGTAGAGACATGTCGTCACCGTCAAATTCAGTTGGCTGGGAACTTTGGGAATGCAATGGACAAAAATAGCATCATGATAAATTTAGAGTCCCGAAAGTGTGAGAAAAAAGCAACCCTGTTGACTGCATGGTGCAGGAGGCTCAAACATATCACTTCTGTCCAATGAGCATATCCTGTTCTTATTTTTCAGACAACACAGAACATGTATGTCCTTAATGAAATCCATCAATGTGGTTTCTTTGCAGACTCATCTAAACCACAGGAAGGTAAGTCCACTGTTCTGTCAGCTTGATGCCTCCTGGTTAGTCAGATTCAGCCAGTTTTACTGACCGCTCACATGTTGACTCTGTGAGGTCAGTGACTGATGTGTCATGCATTCTTTAATGATCCACCTAGAGGGCAAATAAAAGAACATTTTTGTGACAAACATACTGGGAAAATGGGGGAAGAAACATCCTATGGGCCTCTAATATGGTTTAACTTTTTAAGTACACAAGGGAGTGTGAAATCTGCACAAATGTGTATTCTTGTTAAATTCACAGTACTAAGAGTTCCAAGATGAAACTGTCTGAGTCTCTATAACATCACACTGTTATTTACAGTGTTTTGTTTACGGCTCTGTTTGCTCTGCCAAATTACACAGGATGCGTCACATCGCTCAGCTCTTAAAAAGACCATCGAACACCAAAAAATGTCACGATTGATTGTGAAAATAATTACAGTTTTTCTGGCCCTCCCATCTGACTGTTAAGAACATGTCAATAACTGGAAGCAGCTTTTGTTAACTGAGATACAATGAAAGTCTAAATGCACAATCATTGACAAACTGGGATAATACCAAAATGAGTCATTGATCCATGTGTCACATTCACAAATGTTCAAGAGATTCACAGAGTGTCCATTAGGGAAACAGTTTGCAGTCATTTTGTTCTTTCTTTCTTTTTTACACTTTTTACAGCAGTCAGTTATATAACTCACACCAATGCTTCTGACTTGGTAGGTACTTATGCAGGTACCAGGAGTATGAATAAAACATTCAAATGGATAAACCATTTAAATAGATTGCCAAAAGTATTGGGTACTTTAAAATAAATAGCTGAAAGTGACAACAAAATATAACTAAAAATATTCAATAAATTGTTGAAATAGCCAGCTAAATGTAATGGATACATAGTTGAAATATAGTGTAATGGATAAATGGTTGAAATATAGTGTAATGGCTAAATGGTTGAAATATCTAGCTAAATGTAATGGATGAAACCATGAAATTAAACCAGCTGAACCAGACTGAAAACTGACAGTTCGTCTGTAACAATATCCACTTTAATGTACTTAATGGTGTTAAATAACACCCAGTTTGAAATCTGTTCAAATCAGCACATTTGGAACATGACGGCTGCTATGTACTTGACTTCATCTGACAGGGCTGTGGGAGTACATCTGACAAAAAGGGTTGGGACCGACAAACTGTGTTCAAGCTAGAGTATACTATACAGCTGTTAGTCAGAAAACTGCTGGTGACAAAATTCCCACAATAAAATAGAGCAGGGGAATGTTTTTTTCAGACCCCAGCTTTTCATGACTGACAAAGCAGGCAGACCTCCTGGGGTTTTCATTTTCAACATGAAAAGGCCACCTCTGCTTTTAAACAGGGCCCGGGTTTCATTCTGATATGCGGCTGTGTTTAGGATTCCACAAATACTTCTATATTTAGCTAACAGCAGATCCATGTTGGAGATAAAGCACTATCACCACTACACAGGGTGAGAAATATATCTGAAAAATGAACCAAAGAATACATGCTACCTGCCCTTTGCTCTAAACAATATCTGAGTGAGCCAACAACGCAGAAGATTTGTGGGGAAACTCCATTACGACGAGAGAAAAGGCGCCGGGTCTTTCCTGATTAGAAATTGATCAGGTCATTCAAATTCCACCCTGGAGGGAAGCAAAGAGGATTGGGTTTAAGACTGAGAAAGACGGCGCGGTGACACAGCTCGCCTGTGATTTCATTCTCGCTATCAGAGCAGAAAAACAAACTATACAGCCGTTTATCAGCGGCACTGACACAGGCCAGTGCACAGGAAGGCTTATAAGTGATCCTGTCTACTGTTTGGAGCTCCCTAACTCACAGCAGACTGCGGATTTGCATACAGTCCAAGGTTGGTTATTGTTTAAGGCAGCAAGTTTGACGAGGATACCTGGGGACACTTGTAATAGACACTTCAATAAATAGGCCTACTGTTGACTCCACTCAGTTTGAAGCCCCTTGGCATTAAGGAGTCCAGGTAGACGTGCGAGCGAGCAGAATATATTCTCAAACAGGTGGCAACCCCCCACTTTTGACAACACATCGGCCATCATCTCGTTCCTCTGACCTTGTCCGACTGAAGGCTTGCAACCCTGCGCTGATCAAAGTTCGCTAAGCTGAGGCAGCAAAGCGTCTGTTCACACTTCAGAGGGGAGGGAGAGAGGGGGAGGGAGAGCGAGAAAGAGAGGGGGTGGAGAGCAGCAGTGTTTGAGCTGCGATTTCACCCTAATCTTCAGTTCTGAGAAGTCATCAACTTTGCAGGGTGTAGTTACAGTAAAGTGTTTTCAGTTTGTGTTGTGTGGAAATTGTTTTTCCCCCACCGGCTTACCTCTGCGAACAATTTGAGAAATCAGAATTCTGCAGTTTTGAAGACTCTTATGTATTATATGCTTTTAAAAAGGTATTTCTGCTGAGCCGAGAGACTGTGCTTGCTGAATTGAACCAAGCCTCTCGGTGGAAGTGAAATCTAAGAAGTAACCTTGACGCTTAACACATACATGCACCTCGTTACACAAATGGGACGCAATTTAACACATCAGCATCGTGTTTGAGTCATTTTTACTGAAAAGTCACAACGACTATCGTAGATTAGTCAGAACTATTAACACTTCTAAAATGGAACAAGTATGAATTGAATGCTGTCATATTAACAGTAAAAGCTACAGCAGCTCAAGCTATGCACAGAAAGAAACAGCTTGTTCGCCTTATTAAGAACACTGGATAAACACATATCACAGTTATCACCTAAAAACTAAAACCACCAATAAATCACAAAACACTCTGAATGAGCCCATTGTATGTTGAAGAGGATAATGTGATCTTGTTTTCCCTCCTGTTGTAGGGCAACAAAAATTAAAAAAATAAAATGCATGCATAATAATCAGACCAGCTGTCTCCCTCCTTATATTCTAAATTGTCATTATGGGTGAATTTATGAATATGGAGCAAAATGCTTTGCAGCTTTTGAGAACTGATGAGAAAATGTATTAGAGGAGTCAGTGGTGAGAATGTGGGGTGAGCGTTCCTACCACAGTCATCATAGATTAAAAAGAGAACACTCTTCTTCCTTAATATCATCACTTTTCAACTCACTGCTATTTCCAGCATTGCCTTCGCTCCCTCTCACGCACCAGGTGCCAAATATCAGGTGAGCGCTGTGTCTCCGTAAAGGTCCTGTCATGCCTTAATAAGCGGGGGATTTGGACTGAAAACAGCCGTATGTTTAAAAAATGCATGGGGCTGCTGCGTGTAGTTTCAGGTGCCAGTGAGATGATGAAATACGAGCCAGGAAATCCAATTTGAACAACAAATCTGTGAACTGAAGGCTTGTCACTGCGCAGCAGGTTATCATTATACTCTCAGGAAGAATTTTACAGCTCTAGAAATCACACTGGTATTTATTTTATTTTTTGTCACAATAAATTTCATCTGTCCGTAAACAGTGAAAATACAGTGTTCTCCAAAGCACTCTACCAGGGATGTGCCCTTGCATACTTGGCAGGTAAGCTAGGTTCAACTTTTCTCCTGGATGACCCTGTGTTCTTTAGTTGGAGGCTTCTCAGCTTCAACAGTATGTAGGGTTGCCACCCGTCTGGTATAATACAGGATCGTCCTGTGTTAAAAGTAAAATGCCCTATCCCCTACTCAATCAACATGGGACGCAATTCTTCTCATATTTTCGTGCACATCCTTCTCTTCCTTTTAACATGCTTTGAATGACATTAGAAATGATAAAACCAAGAGTTCCACGAGACATAGAGACAAGTATTAAATAATAATAATAATAATAAATATTAAGTTTGTGGAAGAGAATCTTGTTCTTGCTAACAAGTACTGTCTCTGTATCAAAAGCCTGATGCAGTTTTTACTCTGTGTCTCTATTGTTCAAAAAACTAACAAGACTATTATGTCTGCAGCCATGCTAACGCCTTTGTGAGTCTGTAATTACACGCAGCGGTAATTTGAGTTAAATGCTAACGTTAGCCTGGCAACGTGGTCACAATGACAGCCCAAACATGCCCAGGTTAAGCAGCTCAAGTCCGCCCAGTCGGTCATTCCTTTCAGTGGGAATGAGTACAAAAATGTGTCGTCATCCATGGTGGACTGTCCGACCTGAGGTAACATTAAGCAGTGAACACAAATTGGTGCATAAAAATTCACCAGAATGCAGGAAATGAAGTGTTTAACACACAAAATGGGGAAGGACCCAGAGACTTGATTTGTGCCCTCCAGGCATGGCATCACTTGTTTCTCCACTTTGAAGGTTGCAACCCTAAGGCCCAGTCCACACTGCCTGCGTCTGCTGTGTGTGCCGGAGCGCCTTGCTTTTTATTCCAGCCCCACCATGTTAACAGATTAGAGCAGCCACACTTCACTTAGACTGAGGGTCGAGGTCTTGCCTGTTTTTTCCACGAGCCGTCCGCAGTTTCTAGCAAAAATAGACAATAAAACTGACTGTTCATAGTCATATTGAAATTCTACCAGCAACATATACACACTAAAGTTTCAGTGTCTATATCTGTACAATATGTCACAGGCATGAAAAAAAATGTTTTAACTCATTTTTAACTAAGTTTCTGTAGACAAAATCCATTCATAAGTTAACAAGGCTTTTGCTGTATTGTATTTGTCTAGGGCAAATTCAATGTAGAAAGACCGCAGCAGAAATGCTCTCTTTGTGGTCACCTCAGGCGAGCTGCAGCAGCGGCGTACAGGGCAGCTGTCACACACCGCTCATGCATCCTGTGTGGACCAACTGTATCATAGCGACATCATTCAAATGAACGATGAACCTGGACTTTTTTACACACAGTTAAAACGCAGCCTAAACAGTAAGGGTACATGAGGAACATTTACATAACGGATACCTATGTCTGAATGACAAAAAAATCAAACACCAAAAAGGGCTTTAAACACCCTTAATGTAAAAATAAAGTAGCCAAACAGCCCACTTTCTTAATATGAACAACATTATGCCAAAGCAAGGTATAAGAAAACTAGAATCTCTGCTATCATCAACATTCAATATCTGAAACTGCACCAGACGGGATGAATAAGAAGAGATGTTAAAGGCAACACAGA